GGCCCAGCGCGACCAGCTGGGCAAGGAGGTGGCCCACCGCTCGCAGGAGATCAAGGGGCTCAAGGAGGAGTGCCGCCGGAGGAAGAAGATGATCAGCACCCAGCAGATGATGCTGGAGGCCCGAGCCAGCTACCACCAGGTGAGAGGAGAGGTCCTAGCAGCCCAGTCACCCACACCTTGCCACCTCCCAAGCCTGCTGGGGACAGGCAGCAGAGCCTTCCTGCTCTGCTGGGGCGCAGTCGCTTGCTGGGTGAGAGGCTGGAGCTGCAGGGACCAGTGACCTTGCAAAAAGGGAGTGCATCGCTTGCAGGTGCTTCACTTCCCATCTGTGTTTCACAGGCGTTTGGCTGGTATCACAGACGTTTGGGAGAGTGCTACATCATCTTTAACAAATCCTCTTTTTACTAACAGGTGCTCTTTATTCTTGGATTTGCTGTTGACGCATCTGAAGTGTCAGATACACACACATACAAAACCTGTGATAAACATGTTACTACTTTCTGTTGCTGTCTCTCCTTGCCTATCAGCTACATGGTCAGAAAACACATAGGGCAAGTACATCAGAACTGGTGCTAAGCAGTAACCTACCTGTCTGTGAGTTGTCACTTTCCTGCAGTAACATTCTCCAGGCACAAAGTTTCTACTTGTGTGTGTGACTCAGAAGTGACTCAGGCGTGATGGTAAAGAGTCCCAGTGAGGTAGCTCATCCCTAACTCGACAACAATCTGTTCCTTAAAGGTCTTCCCTAAAAGCCTTAGTACATTGCTGTTCTGACTCTCTGTGTCATGGCATGCTGTTTTTTTGGGAGGGGTTTTTGTGTTCTGGGTGTAATAGTTTGATTTAAAGATTTTTCAGCTTCACCATTTTTCAACAGGTTTCAGGAATGCAGATTACAGCTTCAAATGTAGTCTGAAGTCTAGAGAGTACACTGGCTTGACACAATTTCAGGCTAGCTCTTTGTGTCTATATGTTTAAAGTTACAGTTTTCTTTTTTTTTTTAATTTTTGGGATACTAGCAGTCCTGATTGTTGAAATTCTCCTTAATCATAGAATAGTTGCAGTACAGAACTAATACAAGTTTTCTTATAGTATGTACAATCTTATCTCACAGTATAATACCAATTTCAGCAGGCTGGCAAAGTTAATTTTTTAAGACATCAGCTAAGTTGACTCAAGTGTTTCTGTAAGCAAAAAGATACCTTATGCCCCAAGAGTAGAGCTATACGTATGGTGGACTTCATGGGAAAAACTTGTCTCAATGCATTCATTTGAGTGTTAGTCTTAAGGACAAGCTGTTGATGTGGCATCATTTTAAAAAGCCTTTATGCAACTTACAGAGCAGTTTGTCTGTCCTGTGTTGCAAAAGAAAACTGATTGCCTGCATCATTTTATGTGTAAACTTAAATAATTCTCATACTGTGATTGCCAGCTAAATATTACCAAGTTTTTCTGAAATATTTGTAGAATACAACTGTCTCAGTGGAAGCTGAAGAACATGGTAGTGAACTTGGCTCATCACTAATCTTCTGTTCAGTGGCATTTACAATAAAGCAGAGATGGAAAGCTATTTCCCATTTTTAATTTAATTTCATATAAAGTAAACATCTGTCCTCCCCCATTTTTTCCTCCCTGTTAGTAAATTCTTGTCTCTAGAAGTTATTTAGGTTCACGTGAGAAAAGTGAGTTCAGGGGGTGACGTTGAACTGTTCCTGCAGTTCCTACAGTGTTTTCAGGATTCTGAGTGTGAAGGCCAAAGACCTAGAGTTTATAAATGCAGGGCAGCAGTGTGATCAATAAATAATAATTGTGTGTTGTTTATCTGTGACATGATCTTGGATGATCTGCAGTGCCAGATAATAGGGGTTTTGCTGGTGTTCCTGCGAGGGTAGTTCAGATTTCATCCCCTCAAAGTCTTGGCTGTTCTGCAGACAAGCCTGTAAATAGTTACTTGCCTTTTTTAGTGGAGGCACACTTTATATCTAATGTAACCATGCTTTGGAATTCAGTTTTAATGCTTTAATCCACCAATGTAAGTTCAACCATGAAATGCTACTATAAAATGGTACTGGTACCTACAAGGCATAAATTTGAGACTCATTGGTCAATACCTTCACCTGAGTAATACAAATTTAATTTTAAATAATAATTTTTCAGTTTTTTGATACTTTGTTCAGAAATCTTATATTCTCATGCACAGTGTAAGCATGAAGTGCACACTGTGTCTAACACTGTGAAAAGTAGTTGCAAGAAGTGTTACATAATTCAAAACCTAAATATTCCCTGTGTTAAAATTCCTGTCTCCTGCAGTAAGGCCTTTCTTTCACTACCAGCAAGTCAAACTGACATGAAGTTTGTGCTTGAATAGATAACATTATTTCACAGCCAATTTCATTCCATAAATCATGTGCAATCTGTTACACTGTAAGCTCCCTCTTGGTTGGCAGCAATGCTTTGCTACCATACTATGTCTCTTTACTTTGTTTTTTTGTTAGCGCTTTTTTGCACTTGTCCAACAAAATTTGTGTTAGTAATTCATGGCTTTAGTGTTTGCTGAAAGATATTCTTAATAGAATACCTGACTATCAGTGGCAATATTTTATATATTAGATGAAATCTGGGAATTTGATTATGGTGACAAGATCTTGAATCTGTTAAGTCAGTCTCTTGCAGTCATATCACACTGATGAGGAAAAAGGACTCAGCTGAGTATTTGTGGTTTGTTAAAATATATTTATTTGGAAAAAAAGTATGAGAAAGAGGTAATGAGTAACCCTACCTAAAGCAGTTAGGGGCTTTGATTCACAGTCTTATCACTGTGTTGCAAAATCTGTAGATGTAGCTTCTGTCCTTGTGATACCCATCTGTTTTTAATATTCTGAACATTAGTGGAATGTGCTTTGAAGGTGAACAAAAATCATCTTTTAAAATGGATAGGATCCAAATTTAACTTAAAATATGACTTAAAATTAAAAAATAATAAGTAGATTATAGGAACAGTAATTGAAACAGCTTTACGCTTCAGAAGGATGCTAGGTAGCGTACTAATGTATGTATCTTTTCTTGCAAAATTGTGTACTGTTACCTTATTTTTGGTTGAAATGTCTGACCTTTTTACATATCTATGGTCCTTCTAGTATCGTCATCTTACAATTCACTTATGTATACTCAAACCCATTTTTATTGTTTTTTCCAACTATATGGTGCTCTCCTTTGCTGTGATACAAGAGTCTTAAGAATACCTGAGCAGCACGCTAGCTGGCTGGAGTCAGCGTGTATTTTGTTGGATAGTGTTGTCTTACTTTTTCCTTATACTTCTCTACCTACCTATATTCATCTCTCATCTGTGGTTTATATTGGAATTTGAACTTGCTTGGTCGGAGTCTTTTTTGTTCAGAGTTTGTACAGTGCCTAGCACAGTGGGATTCTTGCCCATGACCATCACTGCAAGACATTAAATAACACAAATAACTTTACAGAAATCAGGCACTGTGAGAATTTTAGCCATTATTCTTGTGAAATGGCATTTATTAAAGTTACCTACTTTTGACATCTGGGCAAAATGTAACAACCTGTTAAAAACCTTAACTGCTATGCTTACCAAACAGATGTTACTAATAATAACTAAAATGTTTTTATCTGGTTTTTGTAGTGTCAGTTTTGTGAAAAGGCTTTTATGAACTACTCTTTTTTACAAAGTCACATGCAAAGGCGTCATCCGGAAGAATCTCAGATTGGTATGTACTTTAATGTTATAAAAAAATTGAGATAAATAGTTTAGAAAAGTGTAAATATAATGAGTCCATGATTTTGTGTAACTGGGAAGAATGATTTTCACGTTCCATTTTTAGGTGGCAGATACCAATTTGTGTGAATGCAAACAACACTGACTGACAAAATCTATTGGGCGACATATGTTTCAGTCTCTGGACAATAGTTAACAAAAGATAGTATGCCATATTTACAGTACCTTTTCAAACTAGCATTCCCACTAAATAATTAGTCAGTAGCAGACTTCAGAGCACAGTTTCTCTTTAGGCATGTGTATTATGAAGGTGTGGGTAAACTGAACAAGTTGCGCTAAGGCAATTACATTTTGTGAATACATATGAATTATCAGTACAGAAATAATCCAAGTCACCTGAAATCAGTTTGAATAGGATCAGGCTCTCCTGAACTACACTGACTGTAAAATATAGTGAGAAAAAGAAACTGTCAATAATACTCTAACTTCATGTATCTATGATAATCTTGGTTGCTATACCACTAACTTACATACTTTTGTCTCTCTTCATTGAAAAATGTTTAGTTTGAAAAACATTGCTCTCAAAGTTTGTTTCATTCATCTCTAAATTCTCTCTTTCCTGTTAGGTCGCATGCTTATGATTTATTGCTAAGGACTAAAAAGTATTGACAAATGGCAGTGATTAGAAATGAGTTAGGAGAAAAGAGTATTTGGGAGGAGAAAGTGTGGGAAGAATTTAGCAAGGTCTGAACTGTAGCTTGTCAGGCAGATAAAACAGCAGGAACAGTGAGAGGGGCCCGAGTCTGAGGAAGCCTTAATATATTGGAAGAAGCAGCTCTTGTGCACTTTACAGTTGATAAAAATGGTAGTGGAAGATGCTGCAGAACCAGTTGAACTAATTATCATATAAAGAATTAGTCTGAAATGGCTGTATGAGGGAAATACTCCATGCAGTTATTTCTGAAATAATGTTCTGCATTGTGCTCAGATTCCCAGATGATGGGCTAGTAAATCCTCGGTAAATTGATAAAATGTCTCAAGATTAAAGATTGTTATAATTTTTGCATATTTTAACAGGTTTTATTACCGTGACATTCCCTCTGACTCATTCCGGATAAATAGAGTTGTATTCCAAATGGACTCCTTACAAAAGTTATTTAGAATAAATTGAGGTTCACTTTGTCCCTCATATGTCCTTTTTTGAGCCTGTGTTGCTTAGATTCCTTTGAAATTAGATTATATAATACTTTTTCTTGTAAATGTTTCATAAACTATTTCACATGTCAGTAATATCCGTATTTTTCAGTCTTTGAGGATAATGTTAGCAGTCCAGAGAACATATGTATATAAAAGCATCTTTGGAGAATCATGTTAGTGGAAGGGGAAGTGGTCTATGAGAGTCACGCTTTATGAAGATATTATTGAAACACTATAGAAACACATTTGCAGTAAGGATCACATTTCCAGAAATTACAACAAACATTTTTTAAAACTGTGTTTCTTTCAAACAGAACAGAAGAGGAAAGCAAAGACAGACAAATTGCAGGATGAGATTGATAACCTGAAGGAGCAGTTGCAGCTCACCAAATCCCAGTTAGAGGCTGAACAACAGGCTAATATGGTCAGGTTTTCTAAGGTAATATGTACTGAATAACATGAACCTCGCAAAAGAATTAGTACTGTGGACTGTGTTCACTCATTTTGTAACTGGAACAGAACAAAAATGTGTCTACAGCTTGCGTGCCTGGCAGCGATGGTGCTTAAGCGTTAGAGCATATCTCCCCTTCACCCTCCCCAAATTTTGAACATCTGCTTGTTGCTTACTTTTGTTTTGGACATACTTTAAATTAATACTTAAGACAGCACTTCCGTTAGCACTTGCCAGTTCATAAGGTAAGTGTGGCCTGTTTTTGAAGCAGCTAAAATTGCCTTGCGATGGTGAAATATAAGCTATTTTTAGTATTATGATATCTTATGATGATTAAGCGTTTCTTATATATGACTGATTTTATATGTGACTTTATAAACTGGTAAGATTTATTCTTTGCTGTCTAACAGAGTTGTAAAGCAGTCAAGGAAGAGAGATTGAGAAGAAATAAAGCAATCTAGACCTTGCATGTTGGTCTTTAAATGCTTAGAATTTCGTTGACCAGAGAGCCAAAGCAGAAAGTAATCTTAGCTACTGCTGTGTGAATAAAAAACCTTAAAACAGAATGATTTAAAACCAGCAATTATCTGTTTCTAATCACATGCAAAGCTTTATTTAGGATGATATTGAGTATTGTGGTAGTGCTTACTAGCTCATAAAGAGAAAAAAAGAATCTCTAAGTTACCTGTTTCTGTTCTTTTAAAAGCCTGATAATTTCAGATCATCTCACAATTTTCATTTCAGTTTAAGTAAATACAGTCAGATAATTTGCTATCGAAATAGGGATGGAAATTTTTTTAAGGGGGGGGGAGCTTTTTGGTTCATTAAGGAGCAAATTCTTGGCATAAGAGACAAGATACTTCTAATGATTCATTTAGATATATATCCTGGTATTGCAGTTTGCCCTGTATCACATTGAAAAGCAGGGTTTTGTGGTTGTTAACATAACCTGTCAGAACCTTGTCTTAATGTAGCACCCAATATTCAGAACTTTAGTGGAGTTTGAGGACCTTCAATCATAAAACCAACCATTAAGTTTGGAAAGAGACACTACGTTTTTAATTTAAAGGGAATCAACAAAACGTCGCTATCATTAATTATTTTCTTCTTTGTTTTCAGAGGTAAAGCTGGTCTTCTGTAAAACATGCTGTGTTTCTTTTCCTGAACACAGCTTCAGACTCCTTTCTTCAGTCCTCCTGTTCCCCTTCTCCTGTGACCATTCAGCTTCCTGTTTTTCTTCCATTTTCAAAAGTAATTGGATGACCAAATGAAGAGCGTGGGTAGAGTTTCACCTAGGAGTGCAAGCAGGGTCAGAATAGTGAGCCTTGGCCTTATATGGACGTCTGCTAGGTATTCTACTCATTTATTCTGTGCCTCACTTTTGGGAGGTACATCTATAACATATTTCTCCTGCCCCTGAAGCATTGTTTTTCTTATGAGGTGGAACTTGGAGTGTTCATAGCAGTGCAGCGTAGATTTTTTGGTGCCTTAGGGGCCTATTTTGAAGCCACTTGTCTTAGCTGAGACTCTTAACTACAAGGGGACTGCCTGAAATGTCCTGAAGCTACAGCCTGCAGTGTTACACAACAAGAAGCTTTCAAAGCTTCTGTGTTTTTCTGGGATGTCAGGGAAGATAGAAATGTGAAGTGTGACTGGTTGCAGTTTGTCTGCCATGACTGACATCCACTGTCAATTCAGGTATCATTATGTTGTTGGCTTTTGGTTGAAAGATCAGAAGATCTTTCCCCTGTGTTTTTTTTAGGAGAACCACTACTGGAGGGAATTTGGATAAAAACTGTCATGCTTCCAATTCTTGGTCCCTTCTATTCCTTTGAGGTGGAGGGATACAGAAGATCCTGTTCTTCAGAAGTGTACAATGATGGCTCATTACAGTTAGAAAACAAATTCAGAGTGAGTGCTGTGATGGAAAGATGTAGGGGTTGCCTAAAAAGTGTGTATATTCTGGACAGTGAAGTGCAGGACTTTGAACAAGTTGAGGACTATACAAAAATGACTGACTAGGTAATGGAATGGTAAAAGTAATTTAACAGATAAAGTGGGGTAAATGTATATGGGGAAAAAATAATTCCAACTTCATCTACAAAATGTTGGGTTCTGAGCTGAGTGTTTCTACTGAAGGGCAAGATCTTAAGGTTGTGATACATAGTTCCAGGGAAATGTCAGCCCGGTGGTTAGTAGCAGCCAGCAACGAAAATCAAATATTACAAATTATTCTGAAAAATCACTGTGCAAACTATAGCCTAAATACCGTATGTAGGTCTAGTCCCTTCATCTCAAAAAGGATGTGATAGAATTATAAAAGTTATGGAGATGAGCTACAAGTATGATCGGTCTGTATGCAGAATGACTGAGCATGCCAAGAGTTGTCAGTCTGAAAAAGAGACAACAGCTTGGTGGGGATGGAGGGTGAGATACTGATGTCTGCAAAGTCATGAGTTACACAGAGTGAATAGGTATCGATCATTCACTCTCTTTTCCAGTTCAGGACCTAGCATGCATCAAATGAGCCAGATTGAAACACAAAAAAACCTGCTTGGCTCTTCATGCAAGTAGACCTGTGGAGCTCATTGGCAAAAGATGTTGCAGTTGCTAAAAGCTGACGCAGCCACAAAGGATGACTGCAGAAGTATAGGAGGAGAAACCTATCAAAGGTTACTAAGTTTACAAAACTGTATCAAGCTGGGGAAGTCCTCTGAGCTGAAAACAGTCGACAGCTTGGAGACTATTAAGGAGAACATGCATGTTTGCTTGCCCTGGTATTGTCCTTTCCCACCTATATACTTAACGGCCTCTCTGAGAAACAGGATGCTGAACTAGGTGGATCTTTGATATGACCAAGTAAGGTCATTCATGTGTTATTCAATGAAAAATAATGAACTACCAAAACTTCTTGAAGCGTACTTGTTTTGCTAGCCAAATGCACAGTTTGCTACCCCAGAATTCTTCGGAAGCTGGTGTTTTTTCCTGTTTTTTGATGTCGCAATGTTGCCCATTGAAAGTGGCTGCTTTCCACACGTAGTTTGGGTATTTGAATTAGTATTGCGTGTGGGGAAAAATAACAAATAATGCTTTAAAAATAATTTCAGGAATGTGAACAGCAAAAATCAAAAGAAGAAGAAATTCTACAGTCATTTCATAAATGGAAAGAGGAGGAAAAAGAGAAATTGGCTGATGAAATAGAAAAAGTGAAAGAGATGTTTATGAAAGAGCTGAAGGAGTTATCTTCAAGAAATTCAACATTAGAAAATGTAAGTGCTTTAAGTTTTCCAACATTTTCAGGCATGAATCATTTACAGTAGATGGTAGTGAACTTCATGTATTTGAAATGTGATGTAGTCATCTTAGAGGTCTTCTTACAAAACTTTAAAAATAATGGTTGAATGATATAAATTTGTATGCTGGTACTTTATTAACGTAATTTCAGTTCATTTTTTTAATAGCATTGGTTTGGATGAATGAATTATGCCTTCACCAACTATGTCAATTTTTTCTTCTCAACTTTTGAGTGCCTGTTTACAGATTAGTAGATATTGTTATTATTGCTGTCTGTTAGGTATCCTTATATTAACATTCTTATATCTGGCATGGAGGGGTCTAATCTCTGCATTATATTCCTGACAGCAGAACTGCATGTGTTTTCAATACATGCTCTAGAAATGCTTTCCAGAGTTTTGACTAGAAAGAGAATTGTAAAAGTATAGGTGGGTCAGAAAACAAATATGCACGGCATTACCAGAGCAGCCTATGTTTTGTAGCTGCTAGTTCCTGTGTATATTTGCGGGGTATATTTATGTTAGATGTATATATTAATTATTACATGAAATTTGATAAATGCTGAAGTCAAGAGAAATGTGAGAAGTGTCTGATGCAATCTCTGTGTAGTTATGTTTAAGGTAAATTTTGTATTAAATGACAGTTTTATAAAACAAAATCTGTATACATATTCGGGTCTTCATTTTTTCCCCCCCGCCTTTTAGCAACTGTTAGAATTACAAAAGTCCAATATGCAACAAAAATCCAATTTAGGGACGCTGAAAGACAGCCAAGAATTTACAGAAGAGAAACCTCAGAGTCCTCAGGATTATCACAATGTGGTTAAACTTCTTGAAAAACAGGTAACACTGTAACTTAATGTATTGCCTTTGACAGACTAGTTGTGTTCTTTTCATTTTTGTACATCTCTGAGTAGGATTTTAAATCCGTAAGTAAAATTCTCATCCCTCTCAATGTCTAAAATAGTTGTTTTTAAAGATTTGCTATATTTAGTACAATCTCTAGAATGGAAATCAAGGAATTATTTCCCTTATCCTTTATAAATAAATTGTTATTTATTTATATTCTCTTATTCTTTATTATTAAATATATCTAGCTTTACCAAGTATGGTTGCAGTTCAATTCCAGAAGGCTCTAATAAACCATTTATGTCTGCTGATCTGTAAGGCCACTTATGGAAAAATTGGAATTTTCCATTTTCCAAGATGAAAAAAAATGTTAAGAAACCTTCTGACAGTATTTGTCAACCTGTGGCTTTTCAGCCATATGAAGCACTTGAGCTTATCGGGTGCAACTTCTGTACCAGGTCTATATCATCTGACCAGCACAGATGCTGGTGATAGTGCAAATCTGTTGGACAATCCAAAGACACACCTATAGGAAAGATTGAGCTAGGAAGGGCCACTGAGGCCAAGGTCATTTTATTGCTCTGAGACTCACCTGCATGTCTGGGTTGTTCCTATAAAAAAAAATTAGTTGTGAGACCTTTGGAAATACCCGTAAGCCTTTTTAGTCTTTTTCGTTGACACTTTGACACGCATTATATATTTCATGGTTCTTGGGATGTGAAGGTCTTTGTATACTGCTGGTATCATCCAGAAGTTTGGTCACTTCTGCTCAAAGATGTGGAATACTTAGTGAGTTTTACTTTATGTTTTTTATTTAATCGAAGAAAATTCGGTTCATTCTAAAACTCATGTATTAATACTGGGTTTTATCATCATTACGCAAAATACGTTGTTAATGAGTGCTTGAAATAACGTTATTTTGGGGGAAAAAAAATTGCTTTTACTACTCTTATTGTTAATACACAAAGATGTATCAAAATACTTGCGTATTTCTCATTCATACTATATATACAAATGAAGGAGCAAAATCATCTAGAGTGATTGGTAAGAAAACCACCTCGGATGTGTAAAACATGCTGAAGACTGTTCTAGGTCTTATATACAGGGTTACTCAAGTTTCTAATCATCAATAATCTTTTCAGCATTTATGCTTTATTTAGAAGAATAAAGCTGCATATATCGAAGTAAATGTTAATGTGTTATTATCAGGAATTAATATTGATTTCCTCTATGCAGGAAAGTAAGTGGACGTCTAGAATACAAGCCCTTCATCATGACCATGAGATAGAAAAGTCCTTGGTAAGTGGCACAGCAAACCACTTAAACTAAAAGGAGACTTTTTTCTTATTTTCTTACCCTTTCAGTCGTTCTTGATATGCTGTAATACATCTGTTGGATTAGAAAGTCTAGATCTCAGGTGTTTATAAGAGTGTGTCCTCTTAGATGTATTTATTATCTCTGTATTTCTGTTATGCTAGGATCTTGACGTTTCAGTGAAGGCCAGGGTTGAAATGTAATTTATCATTTAAGAATCTGACAGACACCTGAAATTGTATCTCTCTTTTCCAGAGCTTACAGCTAATTCTGTGAGCACTGTATTATACAGTGTTTTCTGTGTCGTGTGGATATGCTGGATAGTTGAGATATAACTTGCCAACATGTAGCTTTCATCTAACCTGTACCTTCTGCTACCATGGACTTATGGCATATGTCTCAATGTTTTTTTCTCTTTTCTATCATTTCTCTGCTGCTTTTTCTGTTGTAGCTTTCTAGCGCAGAATCTGTTCAGCTTTTCCAGGAAAAAACACCATGGCATTTTATTTTGCATCAGTTTATATATTTTACTATACAAAGCTTTATTCCTCAGATTTTTTTTTTGTGTCTGCATTTCTTTTAAATCTCTTTCCTGCTTTGTTTCTCTTGCTTCTTCTCCTTTCATTTTCCTTTCATCTGCGTGACCCTGTAAGAACTGAGCAGATCATAGTGGTCTGACCAATGCTTCTCTTCCTCTGGCAAGAAAGCAGTGGGGAGGAACCATGGAACATTCCCCAAAAAGGATGTAGTTAATGATACACCCACATACAATGCAAGAATAGAATAAGGGAGGAGTAATGTAAGTATTGCTTTTGGGATGGTGCACCTAAAGTATTGTTCCCTTTCTTCTACATTCAGAGCTAATATATTAGTTTTATCATGCAAATTCACATCTCATCTCCTTAAAATACCATTATTCGACACTATTTATAACCAAAACATTTTTATAGAGTCATATGCTTTTTCCTGCAATCTTATTTTTAGGCAATCTCAGCAATGTGTTTGTATGTCCCTTTCTTTATATTGAGATTTAGGTAGTCTTCCTTGTGTAAATAAAAAGTGATCCAGACAACTGTTTCATAATATATGCAAGTCCCAATGAAATCACAGGAGACATCATGTTTTTGCTGGAAAAAGTGTTAAAAATATTTAAGCATGATACTTGCTTGTTTAGACTTTATAGCATTAAAATATTTTATATAATATTAATATGAAGTTACTTTTCTTCTGATTGCTTTCTAGCTACTGTCACAGATTGAGAAGCTTAAATCATCCGTGAGAGAAGACCTGAATAAAAATAACGCTTTTTACAAGAGGAGGATAGAAGAATTGGGGCAGAGGCTTCAGGAGCAGAATGATCTGATTATTACCCAGAAGAAGCAGGTCTGTTTTGTGAAGCACTCTATGTTTCAGAGAGCATAGGACATAGAGAAACATTTTACTAGGATTTGGTCTTTGATATATCTCTGGTTGCATTGTTAATATTCCCAATTTGTAGTAGTATTGCTGTAGTATTTTGGTTACACTTTGGAAATTATGTTGATAAATAAGAATAGATCTGGAAAAGAGACACAGGAATGTAAACCAGAAATTAAAACACAATTTAGACAGAAAGGATTAATAAACCAAATGTTTTTAGTAAGTTCAACACAAAGTTAAAAGATTACTAGGTCACAGTCACCAAAGACCTCTACAGATGAAAAATTTCTGATAGTGAACAGGATTTAATCTGCCACATAATGAAATCTAGTGTTTGAAATCTGAAAATACATGACTTCTCACACTAAAAATAAAGTATCATATTTATCACCGTGAGAACAATTAATTAAATTATTACCATATGAAATATAACAAGAGCAAGTGCTGGATTCTCCACCTGGGACGGAGTAATCCTGGTTTTATATACAAATGGGGGACGAGAGGCTGGAGAGCAGCCCCGCAGAAAGAAATCTGGGGGTTTGGGTTGATGGCAAGTTGACTGTGAGTCAACAGTGTGCCCTGACAGCCAAAAGGGCCAGCTGTGTCCTGGGGTGCATCAAGCACAGCATAGCTGGCCAGTCAAGGGAGGTGATTGTCCCACTCTACACTGCACTGGTGCGGCCTCACCTCGAGTACCGTGTGCAGTTTTGGGCGCCTCAATACAAGAAGGACATCAAACTATTAGAGTGTGTCCAGAGGAGGGTGACCAAGGTGGTGAAAGGTCTCAAGGGCAAGACTTAGGAGGAGTGGCTGAGGTCACTTGTTTTGTTCAGCTTGGAGAAGAGAAGGCTGAGGGGGGACCTCATTGCAGGCTACACCTTCCTCAAGGAGGGCAGTGGAGGGGGAGGTGCTGATCTCCTCTCTCTGGTGACCAGCAACAGCACACGAAGAAATGGAATGAAGCTGCGTCAGGGGAAGTTCAGACTGGACATTAGAAAAGGTTTTTCACTGAGAGGGCGGTCAGTCACTGGAACAGGATCCCCAGGGAAGTCGTCACAGTACCAAGCCTGTCAGAGTTCAAGGAGCGTCTGGGCGATGCTCTTAGTCATATGGTTTAGTTTTGGATAGTCTTGTGAGGAGCAGGGAGTTGGACTCGGTGATCCTTATGGGTCCCTTCCAACTTGAGATAGTCTACGATGCTATGAAATTATTTGTTTGGAAATGAATTGTTTTTTCTTAAAAATATGCTTTTGTTCAAACATAGCTACAGATTTTTTGAGGTGATTGGTGGGTGAAGATCTGGGTGGTCTGGAGTTTAGACTGTAGCATGATTATGCAGTCCTTACAACCTATTCCTCTATTAGATGGTACATTCTTTACAAATCAACATTTGATTTTACACATTTTTCTTGGGATTAATGTTAAACCTATACTTAAATGCTTAAAGAATTAGAAAGACAAATAATAGCTTTTACATCTCCACCTTAACAAATTTGATAGCTGGAGCAATAGAGCACTTAATCCTAGACAAATTACGTGCAGTAAAGTGACCTTTTAAAACAAAACAGTATGACCACAGATGTAAAATAGGTTTGGAGGGATCTGAGTTTGGTGTTTGTGAAATACAGTTGTGAAGATCTACATTTTCAATACCTGGAAACTGGAAGGGCTTGAGAAATAGCTAACACTTTTGTAGAATCCAAACTGAATGGACAATGAATTAAGGCACTATTGGCTACCTCCAAACAGATAAATAAAAGAGGACCAGGGTACAATATCTTGTGCCAGCTCCAGCTGACATTGACTGTGTGTCTGTACGGTTTGGGTTTAGCTTCTGTTTTGGGAATTGGAGTGCAGAACATTGTTTTAATGATACAGGATTCACAAGTTTCCTGTTTTCTTTAGATCGAATTATAGCCAGCTTGTTTCCTCTATGCTCTCAGTTTTGTTCAGTGCATGTCTTGGGTGTCAAATAGACAAAACTGTAGAGCAGACAAGAGAACTGTTCATTTATTTAAAATCAGTGTGTAATTAAATGTTTCCCTGGAGTGGAGCTAGACTTGAAAAATTGAACATGAATTGCTGAAGCAGAAAGTATTGAAACTGTAAGTGCTGAAGTGGCCCATAAGCCCACTCTCATTTCACTTTATAGCTTGTAATAACAGAGTGTATAAAGCATGAGTTCACATAAGACAACAAACAGAAATAAGTCTTCAACATTCATTAAGCATGAATGAAATATGTATTAGGCAGTAGAATAGAGTTCCACAAAAGTATTATTTTTCTCTCCAAATCATAAACAATAATTTCTGTTATGGAATAGTACTGAAACTAGGTATTTTGTACTAAATGTTCATTTCTAGATATTGATCATTTACATTTGTAACTATTCATGTATCTGTCTCTTCTCTTTTAGATAAAAGAATTGTCCACAAGATCAGTTGCAAGCATCAAATCATATGACAGTAAGTACAAACTGTAAGGAAAAGCAGATTTTGTTTCTGATTTCAGCAGCTTGGCTGAAACGAATGTTACAATTCATTAAAAAATACAGACATCAACTTTACTAACTAAATGTTGAAATCAAATCAGTACTGGCAATTTATTTGTGTTTCAGATGTTTCCATGCCGTGATTTTCAAAGTTCATGTTCTGCTACTGTAAGGACTTCTAATGTACAAAGTTGATTGCTTGAGTAGTGAAAAGATGTGAAATATAGCAACTCTATTTTGTATTATATAAACAACTTTGGCTTTGCTTTATGAAGTATAATTTTAATTGTTTTTTCATGCTTGACTGTCCTTAGGCTGCAGAACTCACAAAAGGGAAAATACTGTAAGAGTAGACAAAATTGATTAACTTGTCAGTTAAGATACGGATGTTCAAAGAATTTTAAGAACTCTGATATTTTTGTCTGTGCAATGCTTTAACAAACAGCAAAACCTAATAATAGTGTTTTAGGATGTAGTCCTGCACCACCAACACCTGTGTTGTTGATGCTACAGTTGCAGTGACTTGTAATAGGTTTGTTGCAATAGATGATGACAGCTGGATTAATTCTAATCCCAGTTTGGAAACCATCTTGCTTTATTAGCAGGACATTGGCTTGAATTGAACCTAAGAGCAGGGAGTAGCTTAGTTTGAGGAGGGCATAGTGATAGTATGGCTGTATGGCTTCTCAACTGGAGCTGGTCATATTCAGCCACACTGAAGCACAGACAAGTATGAGACCAGGTCACAAAAGCAAATTTGCTCCTAGGCCCCAAGCTGATCTGAGGAATGTAGAATTGATGTGATAATTCACTCCAAGGCTACATTCTGTACATGATATAGGTAGGGTTTCTGCTAAGTGATATGAAGTGTGGATACAGCAGATCCTCTTCTGGGAATACAAGTGTCAATCAGGTTAGACTTGACTAAGTAGCTTTGGGCCAAGGCTTCTTCCCTGGGACACAAAGACAGCATACAGACATGACCAAAGAGATGATCTGAGTAGTGCAGGTTCACATTCCAGTTCAGTGACAATTTAGTAACTAGTTTCTTTCCTGGTTCTAGAAGTATTAAAGATGTTAAGCATATCTAGAGACGTACTTTTATGTTGTGAAGGACCAATTTTTACTTTGTAAACTATTTGTTTATTTTTCCCTCCTATTAAAGCCAACATTTGCGTAATTTATAAATATTATTAAATATTGCTACATTTATGAATCTGTATTTGTCTGTTATTGTTTACTATAATACATTTACATTATTTTTTACTTTTATGCTATTTTAGTGAACACTACTGTAGAGCATCTTGAAGAATCTAAACAAAGTCTACCAGTGGTGCATGGTAAGTTTTTTTGATAGGTCCAGATGCAGGACTTGTAAATCTAACATTCTGTCTTCTCAAATGTGTTGCTCGTCAAATCGTAGCTGTAAGAGTAGTTACACTGAAAGAACATAATTTGAATTGCTTTGCTGTATGTCAGCATTGAGAATTCCCATGAAGAAATTGTAAAGATGCACTATTGAAAAGAATAAATGAAAAACAAAATAAAATAATTTGAGAATATTTCCTAGCACATGTATAGTATTGGAGCACTTTAAGGTAAATGAAACTAGTTGGGGAAATAAAATCATGTTTTCTTCTAGAAAATATGCTTATTTTCTGGTTTATGCATATAGTGGATAGGTGTATGCATATAATGGAATTCATAGAGAGAAAAATGTGGAGATGTTTGTTTCTAAGTCTTGAAAATGTATTTTTCATGACTTCAAATGTCAAGGAGGAAAAATACAGAAGACATAATCAAAATAGACAGTCATCCCATCTAGATGATTCTTCCAGACTATATCTGTAGTTACATATAGATCATTATTTAGTTATTTTAACCTGTGGTTATGATATGGTTTAGTAGTGGGGGGAAGCGATGAACCTCCATTTATATTGTTTGGTGCTTTGTGAAAATAGTTTTCACTTTTTTCTCAGTATGCAAAGTAATGGAGAGTATTGTTACCATACCAATATTCTGAGATCAATTAATTCTTTACTTTCATTTCAAGGAAATGTAATAGGAAAAATGAACTTTGAGCAAGTAAAATGTTTAAATGTTAAAACCATTTTATAAATTATTTGAGTTATTGAACTATAATTAAATAATGATTTTTTAAATTATTATTTCTCTTAGTTTTAAAACCTGTCAAGGGGAGAGGAAATGGAATTTGTCTAAGAAAAATGTACAGAATTTTTTTTTTCAACAAATTCAAAAAGTTCTGAAAAGCCGAATGGGGAGAAGGAGCAGTATACAACAGAAACTTTAGATAACTTGACGAGGAATGAAAAACTGATGAATATGAACTGTTGATTTCAAAATATTTGTTGTGTCAAGAATTATTAAACTAAGGAAAAGAGATTTTTATTTTTATTATATTGT